CAATAAGACTTGCTCTTGTAACCAATCTTACAATAATATCTCTTTATAATGAATCATTCTTGATTCTCTTATTTCCTCCAAACTCTTCCTTTGTTCTCCTTGTGAGTAAAACTCTGAAATTAAAAAGGACTTTCAAGATATATTATTTAAATGAATAAATTGCCTACTGCACTTTTGTTTTAAATTTGTGTTGTTACCTTTACCACTAAAAGACACTTGAGAAAATATACTTTGTATTATAGGAGATCCAGTAGAATAGTTTGAACTTATATGGTTTCTTACCCAAATTGAACTTCAGAAATTCACTAGTGATTCTTGCTAGTATGAATGGCTTCCATCATGCAAGTCCATTACACCTTGGAGCATAATCACGACCAAATCTAAGAGCTTCTCACTGATGGGACCAGTTCCCCATGCCCTTTTCTTAGCCATAGAGAATGGCCCCTCCATGTCCAAGAACAGTATGCTCAAATGTGAAATCGTATACCAGCCTGTTAGCATCACGCAGCCTGTTGAATCCTTGAAGCAGTGACCAAGCTTGTTACAATAGAGAGTGTCTTTGGAGAATAAGCATGTGGTGCATATCGTGGAAATTGCTCCATTTGGCAGCATCTGAGTATAAATTGGCATCTCAGCAGTGCAGCTGTGATTGTAATTGACTAAAGTTCTCAGCTGAAAGACCTCTGACCATCTTTCTCAGGCAAATTGCTCTGTCAGAAAAGCTTCATCCCCAACATCTCCCAGTGAGCCTTTAAAAGTTATTCTCTTAAACTGGCTTTCTTTGATGTGGTCTTCTGCAGTTTTCTCCCTTCCCCATCAGTTCTAGTGTGGTGGTGGTTTGTGCATTGCAAGAGTACCTGGATAGTTGTTTGGATGTTAATCAGCTTTAGCTCTGGGAAGAAACTTTCTCCAGAAGGAAGCCTATAGATTTCACTTACAAGTTGAAGATGTTTCTGTGACTCTAATTTCTGTCCTAAGAATCACCAGTGAATTGTCACGAGTGTTACCTAACAGTTACAGAAACGTGTTCTACAGGGAAGAGAGAATAGCTTTTCAAAACAGAAATGCACCTTTCTATAAAAGAAGAGCGTCGAGTTAGAAACGTGGTCTCCATTTTTGCGTAAGATGCTCTCATTAGGATAACGCGTACAACGACCAAGAAGAAAAGTTCTAAACAAATCTAAAACATCCTAAGGGGTTAGCTTATCTGCCTAGCACAACTTTTACATTTCTCTGTGCGGGCCAGCTCTGTCTTGCTGTCCTGAATCTGCTTAAAGGGTGGTGTCTTCCCCAAATAAAGACTGTGTCTGAATATTCCTCACTGAATTCCTGGTGCCTCTCCATGGCTGGCACACAGTAGGAACTCAGTAGATGTTTACTGATGAGGTGAATCATAGAGGCTCCCCTGTGTGCACTGAGGCAGCAGCACCCATGCTTAGAACAGCACAAAGTCAGGTTCTTCTCCCAGACTCCCAGCCACTTCCTTGTCCCACAGTGGCACAACTGGGGGGTCTCAGTGGTGACCTTTTGTCTTCAAACCCTTAATTCATTAAAATCCAAACTTGAGAGTGAGCCAGAATGGCCAGCCTCTACTGTAGTCATTTCCTCTTCAGCCACAGAGAGGGGACCACATGTCACATGGATTAAGGCTGCTTCATTTGTCAGCGCACAAATGCAAGGCCCCACCCCTTCACTGTTTAGCAGGACCAATAGAAACGACAGAGTCTGAGAGTCAAGATGACTTTGAAATCTGGCTCAGACACATGCCATGCGGCCTTTGACTTTAAAACAGCAACAACAAAAATTCACCTCTTTAAGTTAGGGATTTTTCATAATTAGAATAATGAAAGCAGTGTTCCTTACCCCACTAGGTTGGGATTCGGTGATGTACTTGAAAGTGCCTAATGCATAAGAGCCTCTGGCAGGGCCAAGCCGACCAACAGTGAACAAGAACCCATACTGTAGGTGCTGAGAGTGTGGCAAGAGACGAAGACACGCATAATCTGGTCTTCTGTATTTGTGTGACGGCACTGGGGACAAAGAGAATGACACAGACCCATGGTCCTACACAATGCAGTGGGCATGCCTGCCCTGAAGAGTCTTTTCATTGAGAACAAAGGGACATTCGCATCTTCTGCTGTGAGTCACGGTGCAGTTCCACTGGGGTTGGGCGACTTGCAGCAGGCAGCAGCATCCACCTATTAGCCAATTGACCTTTAGGTGAACCAGAGCTCCCCCTGTGGACTTCCACTCCTCCCTTGTATGTAGAAATAGCATGTTCTGAAACTCGTTTTCTGATAGCAGATAGAGTGTTTACAGTTTTGACTGACAGATTTGGTATTCTGTGAAATACAAGTAGTATTTTCCCTACTTCCAAAAGAAATCTCAGTAGGCAAGTGTGGACTCGCCTTCTCCTGCTCATTCAGGTCTTCTTCAATTTAAAATGAATTGGGGTTATTTGCTGTCTTATCAGTTGGAGACTGTTCTTTTACTTTAACTCATTTTTCTTTTTTTTTTTTTTTTTGAGACGGAGTTTCGCTCT